CCCGCCTTTGGCTTTAAGACGGTGATCCGAGCCAGAACGCCGCGGGAGTGAAGAAGGCTTTAAGGAAACTTATAGCAGAATCGTTATCCATCCCTCTCAGAAGTCCAGATTTAAATCCTATGGAGAATTTGTTTAATTCAGTACGAAGCGACCTGAGCCAACAAGCTTTGAGTCAAATATTACTCGTGAGAGCTACGACGAATTCCAAAGCCGTGTAATAACTACCTTTTTGAACCGACCTGCCCAATCGATTGATAAAATCATTGACTCGATGAATGGTTGTATAGATTTAAGCATTAAAAAGAAAGGGAACAGAATAAAGTACTAAGCAGTTGTGAGCAGAAATGCCTACAATAGTTGACAATCAATACTTGTAAATAGAAGATAAAAGGAATTACAGTCTTATACAGTACAAAGCTGACGTCACTTCCGTTTGTCTACAACGTTAGTTCCTGCGTTAGTTCCGGTTTGTAAACCGTGTACTTTAGCGTGTTCATTTTGAGGGCGATTCTTAGGCTAAAACATTCCGTTAACCAAGGCAATTATGTGTCCTGGATATAGTACATAATAATCTGGACAAACAGAGCACATTGGTCTTAAAATGGCGATTTCCAAACGGTTTACAACGATTTACTAGCGGTCTTTGAGGAATAATCGAGTGACAGTCTCATATTTCAATGTTTTAGATGTAAACCGTTGTATAGGACGTAAAATGTGCTGTTCTTTTTATTCTGACAAGACCTCTGTAATGATAAGTTCTTGTTAAGCGCTGGAAATAGTGAAATATATAGGAATAAATCTTTTTCAACAACAGAAAATGCTCACATTGTTGTAAACCGTTGTGCAGCATGACGGCACGCATGGAAATTATTTTTAGAAACCGTAAGTAAATAGACAGACCGCACTTGGTTCACCGGCAACTGTAGCCGTGTCTCACTGGCAGAACAAACCGTGTCAGTGTCGTTCTCTGTTCCTGACGTATCGTAATTGCGTATCGAGTCCATAACAGCGTCTAAAGAGCAATGAACATTATAATTGACCATGACAAGTACGCCTTGTTCTCACTGTAACGTCAGTCTTGTATGCTCACTCTGCCCCGGAGCAATTACAACCCTGAGAGCAGGCCAAACAGAAATCAACATTCATTTTTGCATTCCAAAAAATGTTATCTTTATTCTATTCCCGTGAAAAAAACACTTTCTTTTCACTTCAAATGTTTACTGTGGCGCATACCTTTCAACATCTCGAAAATACAATCTTGGACCAAAATGTTAAGAAAAATGCACGTTGTATGTTTCATTTTAGAATACTTCCCCCCTAAAGCCCGGTTCACTCAAAATACTCCCCTCACGCTCCCCCAAAAAACAATGTTGAAGTGTGGCCCAAACATTTTTGCTGCCTACTAAACAACAGTGACCAGGGAGGGGTGGGGGGAGGGGTCACCATGGTGCCAAATTCGCAGGGTAGGTCTCCTGTGTGTACGAAAGAGCAAAATTCTTAACACTTTTTGTCCAAGATTGTAGCTGGGTAAAAATGCTTTCCTCCATATATAATGAAGTACAATAGGAACAATAGGCTTGCCTAGACTTGCCCGGTAAGTAACTTGATTAAAAGGAAAATAAGAGCGATCACCTAGCAATGCGAGAAACTGCTTCCTATATCTTATTTAGCGCTAAAACTCGGATATATAAACAAAACAGACGCACATATACACAAATTGGAGCTGAAAACGCTTTATTTCAATTTTATCTGACTATTACAGAACTGTTTTCTCCGTTTTATCTCGAGGAAATGAAAAACTATTGTCTCAACTTTTCACGCGCCGTTAGTTAGGTAATTGTTCGAAATCACAAGCCCAAAGTTGAATACAAATTAGCTCTACAAGAAAAACCTCAAGGGAGCATTTTGACGTATTATTATAAAACAAATAACTTAACAAGGATCAATTGATTAAACACGCGACTAATAATTGCTAGCAATAAAATAGAGTCAAATACACAGCGATTTGAAAGAAATCTATTAAAATAGTCAAAGAAAGCAAGCTATCTTTTTTTTACCACGTTTCCCTCCTCAATTTTTTTAATTCCCTCCTCCACAATTTTATTATTTTCGCTCCTCATTCTTGAATTCCCTCCTCCACGGTTTTAATATTTTCCCTCATTTTTTTATTCCCTGCACCACAATTTTGTGGTGGTGGTGGTGGTGGAGAGAAAACAATAGAAATGTGGCGGCGGCGGTGGTGGTGGTGGTGGTGGTGGAGAGAAAACAATAGAAATGTGGCGGTGGTGGTGGTGGTGGAGTAAAAACAATAGAAATGTGGTGGTGGTGGAGAGAAAACAATAGAAATGTGGCGGCGGTAGTGGTGGTGGTGGAGAGAAAACAATAGAAATGAGGAGGAGGGAAAACAATAAAAATAAGACGGGGGAGGGAAAATAAATAAAATTGTGGAGGAGGGATTAATAACATTGAGGAGGGAAAATATTAAAATTGTGGTGGAGGGAATAAAAAAATGAGGGAAAATATTAAAACCGTGGAGGAGGGAATTCAAGAATGAGGAGCGAAAACAATAAAATTGTGGAGAAGGGAATAAAAAAAATTCAGGAGGGAAACGTGGTAAAAAAAAAGATAGCTTGCTTTCTTTGACTATTTTAATAGATTTCTTTCAAATCGCTGTGTATTTGACTCTATTTATTGCTAGCAATTATTAGTCGCGTGTTTAATCAATTGATCCTTGTTAAGTTATTTGTCTCATAATAATACGTCAAAATGCTCCCTTGAGGTTTTTCCTGTAGAGCTAATTTGTATTCAACTTTGGGCTTGTGAACTCGCATAATTACCTAACTAACCGTGCGTGAAACGTTGAGACTTCAATAGTTTTTCATTTCCTTGAGATAAAACGGAGAAAACAGTTCTGTAATAGTCAGACAAAATTGAAATAAAGCGTTTACAGCTCCAATTTGTGTATATGTGCGTCTGTTTTGTTTATATATCCGAGTTTTAGCGCTAAATAAGATATAGGAAGCCGTTTCTCGCGTTGCTAGGTGATCGCTCTTATTTTCCTATTAATCACGTTACTTACCGGGCAAGTCTAGGCAAGCCTATTGTTCCTATTGTAGTAGAGTGACGCTTATTAGTAAACCTATCCACTTCATTATATATGGAGGAACGCATTTTTACCCAGCTAGCTAGACACTAGGCAGTGACTAGGCACTTAATTAGTATGGAGAGACGCACTTCTTTCCGAGGTGACGTCATAGACTAGGCACTTATGCATATCAATGATTTACCTATCCCTGAACTATCCTTATCTATCCATCGACGGGGTTAATTTTGCTGAAGCCCTACTACTTGTTTGTATTGTAGTTGTTGATTAAAATATATGATTGTACACCTTTCCTGTTGTTCTATACAGTTCTATTTTAAACACGACAGACTTATTACATGACAGAAGATCATCGCAGTAAAAGACGCCACTTTTGCAGTTGCGAAAAGAAAGCCTGAAAAAAATTTAACCTTTACGCCTTCTTTTCGCAACTACAAAGGTTGCGTCTATGACTGCGATAATCTTCTTTCACATAAATTCTTCACCCCGCAGTTCTCATATATGATTTTCATATATTCATCACGATAGGATTAGGAAACATAAGAAAATGACTTCTCAAACTCACTAATAATTCATAAAGAAAAACTAAGTGGTATAGAAGTTCAATAGGTGAACACCCCTCCGTAACAAACCCAGTGAACCCTACCCAGTGGTATAATTCAGTTGACTTAGTGATAACTTAGCCTTCCCGATGCCCGGCAAATAGTTTGTTTCTAGCCAGCTGATTTTTTGCTTCCCTGGTCACTTTGAATTTTCTTTCACGACTTCTACAGATTCTACGAGACCAGTGTATTTCGTTGTTCACATTTGTTCGAAAGAAGCAAAAATATAAAACGTTATTACCATTGACAAAAACAAAATACGGAGGGTATAGTTAATTAATCTCGCATAAAAGTGTTGATCGATTAATTCTTCTCGCTACAACAAAATAAAAGTGGTTTAAAGTTTTCATACCGGTAAAGATGTAAGGCCTGCCACCCCTTTCCGCTTTTATGGGAAGTACACAACTAAGAAGAAAAACCCAGTGGAAAATAAGCCAACCCAGTAAAGTTTTCTTTGAGAACTCAGTGAAGATATAAAACTTCTACTGGGTCTGTTTCAGAGGAGTGTTTAAAATTTAGAAATCAGATGAAACACTCTCACTTTCGCATCCTAACTGTCTCCTAAAACCTTTTTGCAGTTTGAGAATATCAAAATTCAACACATTTGCAGTGTTTCATAGTCACAATATCAAACACAGGCCTCAAAGTTCGATCGTCAAAAATACTCAGCTGTGCGGCGTCGTATTTTCAGTTCTTTACTCAATGTTTGACCTTGGGTTGAAACTCTATCACATGTTTGATATATTTAAACAAACGTAAAACATGTAAATTGACGTACCTCCCGATTTAACTAAACTCAGGATTGATCCACTCCTAAGTTTGTAGTGCCTCAAAGTATAACTGTCGTTGAGTTCTTCTCCATCATACATGAGAAGACATAGCTGATTAGATGGGATCCCTCCTTCAGATTGAATTCTGTCCCTTACATTTCTGATGTTGTCATCTAGGTTGACATCTACACTGATCTGACTTTCATTGGGCATCTTGATATGAATTCTTATCATAACAATGTAGCGCAAGATTGAGTTGTTTCGAATGTTTAAGTCCCTCAAAGTGTCACTATCTCTGAGAAGCTGGCCACGAAAAGAGAGACATAGCTGATTAGATGGGATCCCTCCTTCAGATTGAATTCTGTCCCTTACATTTCTGATGTTGTCATCTAGGTTGACATCTACACTGATCTGACTTTCATTGGGCATCTTGATATGAATTCTTATCATAACAACGTAGCGCAAGATTGAGTTGTTTCGAATGTTTAAGTCCCTCAAAGTGTCACTATCTCTGAGAAGCTGGCCACGAAAAGAGAGTTGTTGCATATCCCATGGGATGTCTTCCCCGAGATTAAGTCTCATCTTTACATCCCCGATAGAGTTGTTTTTACAGAGATTTAACTTCACCTTTGTTCCATTCAACATCTCAACAAAGATTACCACCGCTTCATATAAGAGCAGATGGGATTCGCTCTCAATGTTGTAGTACTTCAAAGTCTTGCGGTCATCGAGTTGTCTACCATTGAATTCCAAAACTTGCCGGTCCGATGAAATTTTAGTTTGGGCATAAATGTTGTCCTTGACAATTCCGATAGTATCCCTTGGCTTCTGTACCAATGTTATCCTTTCTTGAGTTAACGGGTTCAACACATAAACTTTTATCATTTGTGCAACCAAATTAATGTATGACTTGTTCTGGATATTGTACTCAAAAATAGTGCGTTCATTTTTTAGTTCTATGCCATCAAAGCGGAGACTTTGCTCTTTTGGCGGAACACCTGTAATGTTTTGTATTTCCCGTTTGAGCTCTAAGATGGAATCAGTCGGGTTCACTTCAAGGGTAACTAGTCTCGTGCCCTCCGAAAGGATAGTAACTTCCAAACGATATATTTGGAGTGATAAGATCACGGTTGATTTATTCTGAATGTTGTAGTCACTGACTGTTCGGTCGTCTTTCAATTCTTCTCTTTGAAAGAAGAGAAGTTGCTCTTCAGCTGGAAAGCCTTTCTTGTCTTTGATTTTCTCCTTCAAACTTCCGATAGTATCACTAGAATCTACTTCTAACGTGATGATCTCCTGGTGCATGACTTGTACAAAAAAATTTCCAAGAGCGAAACCTGCACATACCAATCGCTGTGAGGAAACATGCTTGCATCACCCGGGATTGAATTAACCTTCGACAATGGAAGTGGCAAATTAGAGGCCTCTCCTGGCTTGCTTGACACAAATGGTTCCGGCACAGTTGCATGGAAACCTATGAAGATTAAAAGCAAACGTCAAAAGATTTAAAAAGGGAATATACTAAACGTAAACTTTTGTTATCGGCACTGTTCATTTTCACTGCATGCTAACTATTAGCTAAAAGAAAAGAAACTAACCTTTAGAATGCATGCAATAGGCATTCCTCTCAGCGTTTAGAGACAATGGAACATTGCTTTTTGACTGTTCCATATTGGTTCAAGATCTAATTTTTTGGACAAACCACAAGAGCACAGCAGAGGAGCAGAAATAACTTATTTACCTTTTTCCCTTTCCCTTAATCAGTTTAGAAATTTATTCTTTACATTTGCCGATTTTTGCGTCTTTTACAAAAAGCAGCTTTTTTGTTCTGAAAAAATCAATTCGTTGACATCATAATTTGCTAAATTTGTAAGATTGTAAGTTGCACTTTTGTCATAAGAAAATATACTTCTTACTTCCAAAGTAAATTTACTGACCAATTGTTTAATAAAATGACATCTTTATAAGTAAAGTTAGCCCTTTAAATACGAAACCTGTGACGTGTAAACAAGTTGATGTAATGGGAGTAGGAGGTACAGAAATGATAACAAGTAACTTACAGAATTAAAAATAATAATAATTTTAAAACGTGTGTTACAAGAAAAGTAAGGCATGTAATTCATCGGTTTGTTTTTTGAAAAATGGAGATCATCGCAGTTGAAGACCCAAATTACGCTTTTACAGTTTATAAAATAAGGCCTGAATTTAACTTGACGATGAAGTTCGAAAAAGCACGAATTCGACTTGTTCGTGATGTTTGCGCTGGCGTCGACGTCATGGCTGCTTGATAGGGACCTTACAAAACTCTGATGGCGAAGGCAACTAAAACGCTTAAAATCTCAATAGGTTTAATAAGCAAAACAGCAACTCGGCATGTGCATCAAGCTTTTCTTTCAATTTCTTTGCTGTCCCTTCACAACTACGACGTGAAATGACCAAATGTTATAAACTCTTGAGAACCTGAACGGCAGGGCGATTTGATTTTACTGTGCGGTTCTAGGGTTTAAGGCGGTCCTCTCTCTTCAGCTCTAGCTTAATTTCCCAGACTGAGCGAGTTGTAAAGAATCACGATTCAAAACATTTGAAAGGAGGCGAAGTTGGGCTTTCATTGACGTTTTTCACTACCGTCGCCGATTTCCGATCGGCAGATCCCTAATACGAACCAAAACCACTGAGGAAGAGGGAGCACCCTCGAAACGTCTGGATTTTCGTACCTTTTCAACGCACATTTTGATAAACTTTGTAAAAATAAATAGATCTCTAATATTCGACTGTTTCGCCCTGAGATTTTGGAATCGGGGATGTCGGCAACAATCAGTCGTTTTGGAAAGACTGTGCTGGAGCCCGTTTCTCGAAAATTCCGGTAACGTTTCGGGCTCTAAATCGAATTTTTAAATGGAAATATAAAGAATAAGAGCGCGGGTCCTGCCTAACAAACTGCCCCATTTTGTTTCATAATTTTATCATGTCAGATGCAAAACTATTGAAACCGCTATCTTGCATGAAAACAACAACAGCTTTACGGGCCTGTTAATTATCGGCACTTTCGAGAAACGGGCCCCTGGTCTCCTTCCACAGCTTGCGTTCAGCAGCCATTTTGTTAGTTTCTGATTCCCCGGTAACCTTACGGGAGGCGGAGACCTCCCTTAAAGTAAGTACGGGGCAAGTTACGGGGACTTTCCAAAAAGGGGCCTAGGGCCCCGTTTTTCGAAAGGCCCGGTAACTTTTCGGGCCCGAAGGCAAATTTTAAAATTAAAACCTGTTGAATAGCAGCACAGTTCCTAGCTCACAAACCTGTCAATTTTGCTTCGTTAACTAATAGTTTCATTGTATCATTTTCAAGATTATTGAAACTTTGATCTTAAAGGTAAACGGCAAACACAAAACAGCTCTCCGGGCCCGAAAAGTTACCGGGACTTCCGAGAAACAGGTCCCAGGGGCCCCTTTTTCCGAAATGCCCGGTAACTTTTCGGGCCCGTCAGCGAATTTTAAATTCAAAACCTATTGAATAGTACCATGAAAGTTTCCTGCTCACAACCGTCAACTGATACTTTCATTGTATCATTTTCAATTTGATCCTGAATGCCAAAACGGTAAACATAAAGCCGCTTTTCGGGCCCGAAAGGTTTGGAAACCACCTCTAGACAATATACGGTATAGGTGCAGATCGCCCCAAAATTTTGGTGTTTTGAATTGGTGGTCGCTTATGGGAGATGGTCGCTAACGAGAGGTGGTCGCAAATGGAGATTCGACTGTACAGTGTAGATGTATGTAAGAAGTAAAGCTCTTCTAAAGTCTCTAAAGTCTCAAGTTGAGATTTTAAAGTAATTAAGACGGAATCCATCAGGAAATTGAGTAATTTTATTTTCAGTGGACAAAAATCTTGTACCAAAATAATTTAAACAATATCGCATTCTTTTTTACATTTTTCAAGGGCTATAGTTGTAATTAGTTATCTGTAATAACACCAAAGAAAATTTCACACGGGAGCCCAAGAAAACGAATGCCAAATTTCACAAAATGACATCTTACACTACTACATGAGAAATTTCTGCAATTTGATTGGCTTAGAGTAGTGGTATTTCAGCTTAATCTGAAAAACCTACATGTGAAAATTACAAACCTTTTGCGGGTAGTAGAGTAAACAAATAATAGTATGATTTGTGCGAGATATTTGGCATAAGTACCACTCGTGATATTTCAAAATTGTCTCAAATTTCCCTCACCTATCAGCTCGTGAAATTACATGTAACAATTTTGAAATATCACTTGTTATGCCAAATATCACTACAAATCATGCTATTCCCAATACAAATGTACGCGGTTACACTAGTTTGCTCGTGCCTGGTCATGATCCTCCTCAAGACATTACGATATTTATGGACGTTTCCTTGAATCCTGGCCCCGACTTAACTGGTGGTCGGCTTCTGCACGATCGGTTTTCCACTTCACAAGTTGTTGGCCGCCACTCGCATACTATATAATTCGCCTTCGTTGACTATGAAATACTCTAGGAAATTTCTCCGAAGCCTACGATCGAGTGCTTGTACTCCTTGTCCTCAAGCTCTGGGCGAACTAAAATCACATGGTGTTCTGAGGTATATAGGAGGAAAAGGTGGAAAGAAGACCCGAGAAAATTATTTAAATATATTTTCTAGAACAACTCAACGTGATTATGCTAATTTTGGTTATCTCCAAGGGCCATTGCCACTTCGTGGTGTAAACTTGAATAATTTAATATCAGTAACTACAACCGATTCTTCCCCCAAAATTGACTGTCGCTGTGTTCAGTTTTGTGTTGTTAACGTTAGATCCATTAAGAACAAGGCAATGGAAGTTAAAGACCTCGTGGTTGATCAAGACATTGATATTTTGGCTCTCACTGAAACTTGGCTGCGTCCTGGTAACATTGATGATGTTGAGATTAGAACCCTATGTCCAACTGGCTGTAGATTTTTACATGTTCCGAGGGGTCATTCCCAAGGTGGAGGTGTTGGTTTGTTATTTAAGGACACTCTCCAGTAAACAGTCACATCACCGATACCTTTACGACATTTGAACTCATTGATATTCACTTTAGAAGTCTTCAATCCATTAGAGTTCTGCTTATTTACCGCCCTCCTGATAACACCTCATGTGTGCTATTTCTTGAAGAATTCTCAGTGCTTCTGCAACAAATTATGGCTGAGTCCACGGGTCACTTACTTATATCTGGTGACTTCAATTTACATGTTGATGACCCCTGTAGCATCTCTGCAAACCGCTTTAATGAAATTCTTGAATCTTGCAACCTAAAACAACACGTCACTGGAGCAACTCACGCTAACGGACACACTTTGGATCTTGTAATTTCTAAAAAAGATAATCCTCTCGTTACTGAAATCAAGATTTTCGACCCTGTAATCTCAGATCACTGTACGGTTCATTGTAGCCTGCGTGTACAAAAACCGCATTTCACGAAGAAAAAGCTGTACTATCGGAAACTGCGTTCTTTGGATAATGAATGCTTTTGTGAAGATATCTTGACTTCTACTTTGCTACAGGATCAAGCTGTTGAACTCAACGCTCTTGTGGATCAATATGACAATGTATTGCGATCCCTCTTGGATCTCTATGCCCCTTTAAAATGGCGAACAGTAACATTACGACTTATAGTGCTCCCTGGTATAAGCCGGAAGTGGTTGTACAGAAAAACATCCGAGGGCGGTTAGAGCGAAAGTGGCGTTCGACTAGGTTACTATGTGATCGTGAGCAAGACGTTCATCAGTGCTACGTTGTCAATAATTTGATTGGGTCACTAAAGTCGACATATTACACTGACGTCATTGATGAACATTCATCAGATCAGAGGATATTGTTCAAGACTGTTGGAAAGTCATTGCAAAAATCAACCAAAAAGCGTTATCCTCCTTCTTCTGATGATACTGCCCTGGCAAATTCATTTGCCGATTTCTTTACCAGCAAGATTGATAAAATACATCATGGGCCTGTTGAAAGGAAATTACGCGTTAGGTCTTCCCCTCCTGAGGTCAAAGTTTGTGGTGCAGAGTTCTGTAACTTTGCTCAGGTTATCCTGGAGGAAATAAAAAAGTTTTCAAGGAAACCACTATCTAAATCTTGTGAACTTGATCCTCTACCTGAGGTAGTTTTGAATGGCTGTCTTACCGTATTACTTCCTACTATTACGAGGATCATCAATCTGTCCTTATCGACTGGTGTTGTGCCCGATGCTCTGAAGGTTGCTATATTATCGCCCACATTGAAAAAATCTGATGCTGACTTTGAACAGTTCCAAAACTTTCGTCCTATCTCGAACTTAAAAGTAGTATCGAGGCTTGTTGAAAAGGCAGTTGCTGCTCGATCCAGAGGTACTGATTGTCTCACCAGTAAATAACAATGATAACTACCCAATATTGCAGGAAGAGGACGAACCAGCTGTGAAATCGCTTAAGAAGGAAAAATCTTCAAGGATAAACAATATTCCAGGGGAGCTGGTTTAGACAGGAGGAGATGCCGTGATAAGCGCCTTGCATAAAATCTGCAATAAGGTATGGCAGACAGAACAGTGGTCCCTACCATAGACCCAGTCTCTTATCACTTCACTTCCCAAGAAAGGTAACCTTCAACAGTGCAAGAACAACCGCACAATCAGCCTAGTATGCCAGCTTAGTATAGTCATGCTGAAGGTGCTGTTAAACGGGCTGAAGCCTCAGGCTGACTCAATCGTCGCCGAAGAACAGGTAGGCTTCAGACCAGGACGCAGTACCACAGAACAGATGTTCAATCTTACGATACTGTGTGAGAAGTACCTGCAACATCAAGACCTCTATCACGTCTTTGAAGACCAATGGTCTACTATAAGGCTTTATAATATTAATACGAACCTGATCCAAGCCACTGAAAACCTCAACAACAAGGCCACTAGTGTAGTCTACCTTAATGGCGCCATAGGAGACTGGTTCAGAACCACAGTCGAAGTCAGACAAGAGTGTTTAATCTCGCCGACTCTTTTCAACGTCTTTCTGGAGAGAATTATGACTGACGCACTAGAAGATCACCAAGGAACAGTTAGAATCGAAAACAGAACAAATACCAACTTACGTTTTGCCGATTACATTAATCGCACCAGCATTTACATTAGAATCAACGGTGAAACATTGGACGAGGTTGAAGGCTTCAAGTATCTGGGCGCAGTCGTCATAGATCAAGGTTCCAAGCCTGAAGTACTGTCCAGAATTACACAGACAAAAGCAGCACTAGCGAGACTGAAGACCATCTCGAACGAAAGGTATATCCCCTTAAGCTCAAAGATCAGACTTATACTCTCCCTGGTTATTTCAGTACTGTTGTACGCCTAAAAACCTGGACATTGACAGCGGACATCCTGAAGAAATTGAAGGCCATCGAGATGTGATGCTTTGGGAAACTGCTTGGCGTATCATACAGAGACCACATCATCAACGATGCAGTCACACAGTAATTTTCAAGGAGTTATAATAACTTCTCTAGTGGGGTTAATTTAACTCCTTACAGTGGAGTTATTTTTTGGGGAGTCATTTTAACTCCAAAAAGGAGTTTAAAGAACTCTTTTTGAGGAGTAAAAATGACCCCAGATATTGAGGAGTCAAAGTAACCCCTAAAAAGGAGTTATGCTATACCTAAAATTTTTACTCCACTTTCAGAGTTAAAGTAATTCCAAAAAGAGTAAAAACAACCCATGCAAGGAGTAAAATAACCCCATTTTCGGAGTTATTTTGACTCCAGACTGGGAGTAAAAAGAACTCTTTTTCAGGAGTAAAAATGACCCCAAATTTGGAGTTAAATTACGAGTTAAAGTAACCCCCAAAAAGGGGTTATCCTGTACCTAAAATTTTTACTCCAATTTTGGAGTTATAATAACTCCTTAAAAATTACTGTGCAGAGACAGATTCAAGCAAGCCATCGATCGGGCCCTATGATGACATCTTAACCACGGTAAAGAAACGCGAGTGAAAGTGGTTGGGGCGTCTACCAAGTTCAGCAGGACTTGCCAAGACAATTTTACAAGGAACGGTGCAAGGAGGTGAAGAAGAGGCCGAAAAAAGAACCTGAGTGGACTGGGTTAAAGTTTTGCGACGTCCTTAGAGAAGCTGAAAACAAAATCAAATGGGGGGAAAGGGTTGCTAGGTCCGTTGCGCCCTGACTACGGGATAGGTGCAGGTGCAGGTGCAAACACAAAAAAGGGCACTTCCTTTGTCTAAACTCTAAAAGGAAAGAGCTCTCGACCAATCAGTGAATTTGTTCGGTTATCTTCTTTTTCCATTTTTATGAACTTTTCCGTTCACCTCATGGCCTAGTCCTTTGAAAATGCAAGCTACATAGATTACATTTTGATTGTTTTGCCATAAGGATGTACATAAAAACAAGAAATATCTAAAGATTTAAAAGCTAATGGCGAGAAAGTCCAAGGGAAACCACCGGGCTTATGAGGAATGGGCTCCCTCAGTTAACTTATACACAACAAAATATGAACCGTTGATAGAAAGATAAAAAATGTATTTGATTCACTTATAGATCCCTTTAGGCGCGTGCCCTGACAAAACACCATTTCGGTTATCTTCTTTTTGCACCTTTAAGCAACTTTCTGTTGATTGGCTTCTCTCGTGGGTTGGTCTTTAGATATTAAATTTAAAAAATGTAAGCTACATTTTCTCTGTCTAAACTCGTTTGTTTCTCTTTCTATTCGTCTTCTCATTCAAAATTTCTCGATCCAAAGATTAGTAGGTTTGAAGTGTGTTTTAAACTCGGTTGTACCGTAACATGGGTGTCCCATGGGTGTATCATGTAGATCATACCTACCCCCTGCTAAGTACTTTTGACAATCTCTGTAGTCTTTTTCGTCGATGGTCATGATCAGTTTTACCTCCGTTAGTCCAAGTTCTTTTAGAAGATCCTCCGTTACTAGGTATTGCTGCACCACTCGACCAAGATTACCTGTACAATAGTCTTGCCAAAGTTCTTCAAGGATCTCCAAAGAACTGCATTCCACTGTGATTATCAAGCTTCCTGGGCTGCAGTCAACAATCATTACTTTTCGTACCTTTTCCATGTACTCTATGAAACCATTAAAATCTTCCAGTGTTGATGGGTTTAAGTTGTTAAGGTACTTTGAGGCAATTAAACTCAGAATTTGCTGTGGGGAAGGAATGGCACCGTTTGTGACATTTCCGCTTAGGGAAGCGGTTGTGTTTGACTCTTGTGACTGACTTGAGGTGACCGGTGCAACTGCACCTTGCTTGATTACTCCTTGGGATTCCTGTGGCTGCCCTATCATCACCGTAGTTCCTTGTTGTAGACCAGGTCCAGAAATGGCCTCGCAGTCAATCTTTAATCTAAGAAGAGCTAATGACATAAAAAAAGTCTGTTATTTGACTGCATTAGAATACATCAATAATCTGAAACTAAAAAGTAATGTAAAAGGACGGTTAATCTCAAGAATCTTAAATTTTTTACAAAAATCTATCGCGCGGTTTAAAAATTATTCGCTAATTTGTTAAAGTGTAGACCAAAACGTTTACAAAATTACTAACAAACTAACAGCCTCGATACATACTTATCAAATCCTTCTTTCTAGTTTCGGCTGGAGCTACCTCAATGATTTTTCACACACGTTTGCAAAATGATTGAAACTACTATGAGGTGAAATTGTATGTCAAAAGCGCTTCGTTTTTTTACAGATAACAGCCGAACATCAAGATTGTCCATTTTGTACCTTATTTCTAACCACAAAAACCTTACGCCAAAAGATCTCGATAACGCTCTTACAGATTTCGCTTAAACTTCATGAACGTCGAGACGGCTATAGGCGGAAAAAGCTCCCATGAACGATTTCGGAGGAAGAATTCCCAGTGCCGAGAAATACTGCTGCAAGTAAAATAGGTGGTGGCGTCATTTCCTTGCTATGACAACTCCGGTGTCATTGCAACCCTGATCATAACACTTTTTCATCTTTATCCACAGGGAGCCCGCACAATCTGTTTGTGTAGCCGATTGTTATTTTATAGTAAATGTTCTGGATTTACCGTTTGCCTCACCTATAGCGATATGTCGCTAACTATGTATATAAATCAATGATAAATAAACGCTGAATTACCTTACCTGTGGTATGTAGTCGTCGTTTTACCTCAAAAGCGGTTTTTTGAGCGATTTTGAAGGAGTTTGAATTCGCCGTTGACTGTTCCTTATAATAGAAGGACCCTTCCTTCTATTATAAGGAACAGTCAACGGCGAATTCAAACTCCTTCAAAATCGCTCAAAAAACCGCTTTTGAGGTAAAACGACGACTATATACCACAGGTAAGGTAATTCAGCGTTTATTTATCATTGATTTATATACATAGTTAGCGATATATCGCTATACTAGTAGGTGAAGCAAACAGTAGATCCAGTACATTTACTATAAAATAACAATCGGCTACACAAACAGATTGTGTGGGCTCCCTGTGCTTTATCTAATACAATTGTGGTGGCAATTTTTCCCGAAATCTTTGTTTATGGCGACGTAGTTTATGCTCCAACTCGGGAGGTATTGACCCTGAAAAACTGTAGAGTATCGAGCCACCTTAATGGTGGTATAAACGACCAAATGTGATTGTAACCTGTTTCTCCATTTCACTCCACAAAAAATGACAAGCTCCAATCAAATATCGGCAAGCCTAAATTTTTCAGGCTTTTTTTCGCAAACTCGCTTCTTTCACTGCCATGATCATGTTCTCTTTATTTGTTTTTTAATTCCGCAGTTGAACCTCCATTAAGCGGCTATCCTCGGGGGAACCGACATGTGGCCGAAAAATTAAAGTTTGGCCGCTCAATAGAGGTTCGTCATAAAATAACCTTTAAAAGAAACATCACTTTATTTTAAAACAAACACGTGAGTGACGGGGAACAAAATTGGCCCACAATCGGTCGTCACCGTCTATCTCGGATTATACTTTCTTTCATTCTTAACACAAAGGCAAAGTAAGTGTATCAAGCGCATGGTCGCCGCTTAATAGAGGTGACAACAATTGGGTAACTCTCGGTTCACTGAGCAAAGAAGCAATGTTTAAAGAAACTCACCCCTAGATGACTGTTTTGCAGCACTTGAAGAGGCGAGTGTGTCTATCGACTGATTCATCTCTTCCAGTTGATCTTTAATTTCTTTTGCCTCGTGACGAACTGCTGTTTCTAACAGGTTTGTTGCAGCACTTGAAGAGGCGAGAGTGTCTATCGACTGATTCATCTCTTCCAGTTGATCTTTAATTTCTTTTGCCTCGTGACGAACTGCTGTTTCTAACAGGTTTGTTGCAGCACTTGAAGAGGCGAGTGTGTCTATCGACTGATTCATCTCTTCCAGTTGATCTTTAATTTCTTTTGCTTCCTGACAAACTGTTGCCTCCATCAAATCTGTTCCTTCATGAAATGCTGTCTGAGTGTAAAATTCAAAGTGTCATAAGTCACCATATCTGGGACAAAATAGAAGATGCTTTACATGAATGTTGCACTAAATCAGTAAACTTAATCAAAGAAAGACTATCGTCAACTCGTGGGTACGTTGTTTAGAAAATAATCAATTAGTTATCACCTCTGGTTTTCCCACAGTAAATTTTAGGAAACGATAGAAATTCAGATTATAAATCTGGAAACACAATACTATTCACTGATTCACCTCCACTTCCTCCCAGCGAGCTACGCCAAACTCGCGTAAGTTGCGAGCAAAATGCCTTCCCGGTTTGCTGCCGTAACAAACTAAGAGGGTCTCAATGGGGTGGTGGCTTTTACGGTTATCGGCTAAAATTTCAGCTCTTTTACGGCTATCGGCAAATTTTTTTCAGTTACGGTTAACAAAAAAGTTAAAAATTAATTCCTTTTGTTTCAAGGAGTTAAATATTAATAAACCTGTATTTTTTCTAACTTTAAAGCAAAATAAAGTCTTAGGATCATCTCGGGATGAAATAAGCTATTCTTTTGAAACATTTCAACATTTAATAGATCATGCTTCATACAGTATTCCACTTCTAATATTATTTTACGCATAGAAATGTCAACAGTCAATATAAAAATAATCTTTGTGAAAAAGCAAAAGCAGACACGCGAACGCTCAACTCAAGGCCGGGGCGCGAATTCATTTATAACAGAAATGGCCGTTTTCACAACAGAAACAGATCATTCATGTGAGACGGGTTATCCGTTTGATAATTCGCGCCAGATAGGTAATACGTCGTAATTTGAAAATGGAACGGTTTTAATTTTGAATGAACAATCTGTCTGACTTTATCCGCCAATTTTGACGGACAGTTTGAAGATGGATTATCCGTTCTAGATAGCCTGTGTACAGCCGCCCCCTCCCTTCAGAACAAAAAAAAAAACGGAAAGGGGTGTTTGCGGGGGAGGGGGCGACTGGACGCAGGCTAGTGTCTGACGGATGATCCATTTTCTAGCTCTAGTGTGAAAATGGCCAACAACAATATTCCCGCGTCCAGTGTTTTTAATGATACAGAAAGGACTGTACAGAACGACTGTCTGCCGTGACTTGTCCGTATCACAGGCCTCATTATTCCGCACGGCTAATGCATTCCGGGTCACGTGGTCCGAGCGAGTTTTTTTTCCTCAGGTATGCCACCGAAATGCCTTGACCGAGATTGCGTGGGAAGACGCCGTACAGGCACTAGGCATGGCAATGTCTACCGTAGCGTCAGAGAAAAACAGGGAATTGTTGTTTATCAGCAACGTGTTTTACAAACAGTGACATCTCTGCGTGTTATTTCACTAGAATATCGAGGGCACGACCTCCTTAAAATCACAAATATTAATCCTCAGCAAGAAGCCAGATTTTCCCTATGGAAACTTGGTTCTTCGAGTGAGCGGCGGCAATGGAGCCTAGGTCTAGGTGAACACCTAAAAGGAGCTTGGCCTAACGTGCGTACGGAGTAAAAGTAGCCAGGGAATAAAAAGACGCAACTATAAGTGAATTTTATCACCTTCCTTAAAAATAACAAATCTAGGGAACAATTTCTTTTACGGTTAACTGTTTTTTACCCTATTTACGGCTAAGAGTTAAAATATGTCAATTTTTACGGCTATCGACTAAATTGTTGGCCGTTTTACGCCTATCGGTTAACCCCATTGAGACCCTCAACTAAGAAATTTCACAACTGATCAATCAAGCTATTCCCAAAATACATGAAGAAGGTGACAAGGTTCGGTTTGGAAGTTTTAACAGGTAATGCTTTGTCTTTTTGACTTGAATTTATCGATAAAACCGGTGGAAAAGTTTTTTGTTTACGAATGCAAATTAAGCCTTGCTTGCTTAAGCCTTGCGTTACTTTATTCAGTTGACTTGTCCATAAATAAGCTTAAACCTAAATTTAATTATCTTTTTTACAGAACGATTTTAAATGCAAAAAGAATTCACAACTCCTTTTGAAGAAATGTCCCCGCAAGAGCTAAACAAACGCCTTCAAAAGTTTTATTTGTCGCCAAGAAAAAACGACGACCGCGGCCGTTCGGTAAATACCCACTACTAGCCACCTCCACTTCGGTGAATAATTGTTACTTATTAACAGTTATTTAGGTATATATTTAAAAACAAAAAAAACAACAACAAAACAGCAAACAAATAAACAAACAAAACAAAACAAAAAAGAAAAAAAAAAAGGAAGAAGGCAAAAAGAACGATCTTAGCAGAATTTGAACCCAGAACCTTCGGGTTAACCCGACCTCACATAGCCACTATGCCGTTGAGGATGATCGCGTGACGTGGGAAAAGTCTCAAATTTAATACCTTTTCCATGGAACTTCCGCCGGCAAATTATCGAGCCATACTTAACCGATTGAAAAAACGACTCGAAGCAATCGGATGAAATTAAGGCTAACTGAAACCAGGCTACTGACGGTAAAAAACAATGTAAACGCATTTCATGGCAATGAAAGAACATATGCGATACAAAGCCGACACAACTCCTCCCAGCTTATGTTTTCTTATCTCGATTTCCGCTGTCATTTTAAAACTAATGCTCAAAATCACCTCCATTTTCCCCCGTGATCTTTGGGAGTCCTTAAGAAGGAGAAGAAGTGCCTTTATTTACCTTACATTCATTCACACACATAATTATAACCTACTACATTACTACAAGGTAGGAGATCAAGCCAGCCTCGAAGTTGAAGGAGTCGAAGAGCAAATGCTCATCTTCTCGTCAAGTTTAACGCCTGGACGAGTCAAAGGCTCTTGAATCGTACTAATCTGAAAGATTCCTACGTGTCTTGAATTTGGTAAGACCTCTATCCTCTAACCGTGCTGTAGCGCACGATGCACGCTCTCAGCGAGGAATTTGATGCCACCGAACTTCGGCGAGCGCGTGCTTCTTTGGAAACGATAGATCTTCGCGCTCTCGAGTTCGGACCCGATTAATTACGAAGTGCGTCTACTACGAGTGACCGAGCGACTCATTTGCATTCCCTGTCCCTGCAATAACTAGTGGTACGCTCGCGCGTACCCACGAGTTAAAAATAACCCAGTAACTCCTTAGCTTTATCAAAAAGCACAAATCTATTGAATTTGGAAGCTTTAAAGTTCTCTCTACAACAGAAATGTCAATTAATATTTGGGTTTTGTTTTGTTTGTCTTTTATTGCTTACTTTTACCCTACCTCCAAACGACTTATCCGTTCACTGACTTCGTCTATGGAATTCTTGATCTCTATATCATTTTTATACCATGCCTTAAGTTCTTGCACATTTCGTTCATCTTCAGTCGTAAGAGGATCTGTCAAATATTTATCAATGGCTTCTTGCCATGCAGTTTTCCTTGTAGAACTGATCTGCCCAGCAATCCTCACAAGAGCTTCACTGATTTCTTTCCAAAGTGTTAAAAACTCACTATCTCTGATTGCCATGCCTTGGCCCACGTGACCATAGACTGAGTTTCGGTAATACTTCATTCTTGCTACATCAGCTGTTAAACTGTGATCTGCACTAAGTGGTAGTGCATCCCATCCTGTGGAGGGAGGGGTGAGGTTGCATATTGTCCTTAGTAAACGGAATAGCAGAGTGACATCAAAATCTGCTGACTTGCCGTACACCCCTGGCGAAGGACAAAGACAGTGCCACTGTGGCATGGTGAGTTTTGCAGCTTTTAGCTGGTTCTTTGTTACTGGATTGCTGAGAATCGTGGGAAGATTACTTGGAGGACATATGGAGTCAAAAGTCTCCCTCAGCAGGCTGGTCCCTCCACTTATTAAAAGTCGTATAATGCGCTGGAAATTTTCCTTTCCTCTCGTTGAACGAAGGATTTCCTCTGGGTCTGGAGCGGCCGTCATTTTTTCTCTCAGACTTAATAACTGGTCATGTTACTAGCAAAAGGTATGCAAACATAATTGAAATATTTGCTAAAATAATTAGCTTGTAGTTTTACACGTCAGTCTCTGTAGCTTTTAAAACTATGCAAATTATTTTTTACCATTTTTTGAGTAGCCACATTTATTCAAAAATCCCGTTTTATAGCTCTACAAGCCTAAGACGGTAAGGTTATACACTAGGATCTGACCGCCGCTTTTAAATTTTTTTCTTTTTGTTTCGGCAAAACGAGTCAGGGAAAGCACACCTGTTTAACAAACCTTTTAGTTTTCTTTATATTTTAACTGAGCGGGAAGTCCGTATTACCGTAGAGGTCACAGCCCTCCACGTAGACGCTCTTGGGGTTTCGTCACGTATTTTTCCCTAACGTCTGGACGAGAGATCTCGTGACGAACGCAAACGTCTCCATCGGTTTATGTTACAATCTGTTTTTTAAAGAGACCAGAAAAAGCTCTACATGTTCTAAAAAAGGCAAGGGCTGTTTTTATCGTATTCTGCGTTTGATACCTGGCTCGTGGTGGTTTCTTATAACCTGTGTTTTATATACTGAGTATGCAGTCCGCCGTTTTCATCTTATTCAAATCACGGAATGGATGCAAATCCGATAGCATGTCACACCCTTTCGAATCAAGTATAATATTCTTCCAAGACCCTTGCGACCTGATACAATTATGAATAAATATAAAAGACTACAGTATCCGGAGTTGGCCTATTTAATCCTCTCTACTCTCTATTTTACTGATCCAAGCCACGAAATCAACTGGCAAGCGATGCGCAGCTAAGGTGACTAGTCGATATTTCGCGTTCAAAAGCTAAGCTTTATTAACATTTATTGGAGACTTTTAAAAGTCGTCTGGAAAGCGTCTCTGTTCACGAACATTTAATTTCAAGAAAAATTCACTTTGACTAGCCAGTTAAAGTTGGTTGGGTCAGCTATCCGACAGAAAGAAGGTAATTGAAATGGCAATACACAGTCTGTGCAATACACTGTAGATGTTGAGCTTCACTCACAGATCTTCTTTTACTTAAATTAAACATTCATACTTCTGTGGGGCATTATTATGCCAATCGAGAGAAGAACTAGTTGAACCGTGAATAAATGGTAGGTGATTACTCTGAAACTCCTTTAATTACAAAAGTTACATTAGTTGGTTGAAATGCGAACTAATGCCAAGAATCAAATTGTGACGGATCAAATAGTAAAAAGAAACTGAACTGATAATCAAAATATCCGGCAAGAAAAGAATAAAATTAAAATGACAACAGACTAAAACTTCTTACCGTCTGTATCATGCCTGCATCCGTAAATAGTTCTAAAGAAGCGACCAAAAGCGGAAGTGCGTGTTGGGGCGAAGCCATGTACGCTCGGCTTGGTGCCAGGTAGGGGAAGGAACGCGTGACGCACCCCTAAGAAATGTCTGCAGGGGAGGCTAGGTGCCAGGCTACTCTCCTTACAATGGCAACTCACGGTGGGTGGTTTGAGTGCGAGATTTAGAAACGAGCTTTTGAAGGTTATTACATATACGGAAGGCCAATGCGGAATACCTGATTTGCAAACGTTAGAAAAAAAATGGTTGTTTGAAGTAAAAACTTATGTTCGTGGCCGAGTCAGGAAGAAGATATAGACCTGGCTCCAGTTGTTCAAACGTTGGATAGCACTATCGAGCGGATAAATCACTATATATCCAATGGATAAGTGTTAGGGAAACCAACTGTGCTATCCGCTGGATAGTGATTTATCCATCCAAAGGAAAGCGTTATCCGGCCAGCTTTTGAAAAACTGGGGCCTGTTGTGAAAATTCCCCTCGCGCTCTCTTTTAACCTTAAAAACTGTTCTTTATGGGAAATTTAAAACATGAATTGTTTGGAACGTTTTTCTGTGGACAACTTTTCTCTGTGGAATTACTCAAAAACAATAAATTTCTTAACTAAACATATTGTCCTTAAGCAGTTTATAACTCACGCAGTCTGAGCTAACTCACTTGTTTGATTAAACCTAAGGCATCCTCTCTCTCTCTCTTTTTTTCCGTTTAGCGTCGTCCAACCGACCCAAATTTTCTTGGCATTTTCCAAAAAAAAAAAGTAACGAGGTAGTTAAACCATTTTTCACTTTTAAATAATTCTTTTAATCTGAAAAATGAGCATAGTAACAGCCTAGAGAAAAACAAGGACAAAAACAGGGACATTTTTTACAGTATATTGTCGCACAGGAGTCTCGGTGGTTGATCCTTTTTTCCCACGTTGACTTTATAATTTTACAATAACATCAACCAACTTGTCCGCCATATTGATTTTGGGTTCATGTCTTCTTGTTTCCAGGCTCCAAAGCAATGATGCTGGGGTACCAGGCCTCCTCTTGTAAGAATTTTTGGGATTTGCTTTTTTTTTTTCAATTCGACTTACCTACCCCGTCAGGAACGCATTCGACGTTAAACGAAAAAAAAGGGGTGGCCTAACCCCAAACCACAGACTTGAAGATCAAAACTTTCCAGGAAAAAAAAACAGGGCCAGGGTCTTACAGTTCCAACGACCCACGTTCGTCAAATATTCTCAGTGGTAGGGAGGCGACTAGGGGAGCCTGGCTACCCACTCTCCCTCCACCTCCCACTCAAAAAATAACTGTCGAGGAGTGAAGGTGAGTATATACAATGATAATTGTACTTGAAACGGCCATTGAAATCTTGAAAGTGCGTTTACACTGGCCATTTCTCGTGTGATTTGTTCTGCGATTTTCTGCCCGTGTAAAACAAGACGTTCTTAAAAAGCGTTCAAGTTTTAAGTTTCAAGTTTATTTCAGTATTTTTAACAGAAAATTTACAAAACTGCTATCGACCCGTAAATAGTAGGGCTAATCTAGACGTGTAGAGTAAAACAGATAGTTTTAACCCCTTAAACCCTAAGTGATCAGCATCAAATTTCTCCAAGTAAAATCAATGCGTTGCAAAATAGAGTGGTCATGAGAATTAAGGACATGATCACACAAGATGTATTTGCTTGATGTTTTATCAACTTCTCCCCACTACTTCTAGAGTAAATTAATAGGGGCCACAAATCAGATGAGAATTTTAGTTTTGATCTTAGGGTTCAAAGGGTTAATACATTGAAAGAGTGCTTGAAAACTCTTGGTAGTTTTTTTTTGTTTTTGCTTCAGTAGGCTGAAACAATAAAACCTAGGTCAAGGCATGGGTAGATAGTATCGTACCTGGTATCATGCAAATCACTAAATTTGGTTGACACAAGCCTCGAGATGGTGCCTTCGTTTACAGGAATGAGAGAAGGCCTGTGTTCTGTTTTAATTTAAAGCTGCTTCATACGTGAAACCCATTCGCTCCAGGGAATTTTGCTCCAAAAACGCATTTTAAAGCTAGACGAACCATTTTACAGAGCCAAAATGATCAAAACGCCGTTTATAGGTCGAGCACTTTACGACCTTCTAGCACCTTCTGTTCCATATGCCAAATATCAGCCTCCGCAGTTTGAAAGTGTGCAGAAAGCAAACTTTCGTGACTATTACTAACCTTTCGCTTTCTCTCTTCCATCTGTTTCGTTTTTCTCGCCCCTTACTTTTTCTTTCGCTGGACATCTACTATGCTTCATTTCGGTGGGAAAAGTTTTGGGAAAGCTTTTAGGATCGTAGGCGGATTAAATGGAAGGAATTAAGTGCACTTGGGTAGTGAAACAAGATTTTCTTCGGAATTCTTCGGGTCGTCGGCCTTCTTGACTGAATCATGCATGAATATCATTACACGGTTTGAAAGATCTCTTCCGCCTGTACAAGTTCGATGACAAAGTTGTTCTTGAGCTTTAAAAATGATAGCGTCACAAGCGGTAGAAGGGACGTGGATTAGCCGATATGCATGGGCGCTTACGGGCGGTTGTGGGCGAAATTGGTTAGGGGCTCCTCCATTTTTGTCGAAGTTAGTTCACAACGTTTTCCTTTTCCTTACACCGTACAATTTAAAGCTTGAAACTTACAAGGTCGTGCCCCAAATTTCATAATGTTAAAAAATTTGGAAGCTACAAAATAAAATTACAAAGTTGAACAATAGTAACCAAAATGTAATAATAAAATATTCAATTGATAAATTTTCAACTGGTCCCTTTGCCCCTTTCACGCTTTTGATCGCGATCACCTTTTTTATCCTTCCGAGTTACTGAGCACACAATCTTTTAACAGAACATGAAATAGGAGATCTATGAAGAGGCTAAACAAGTAGTAAATGTCTTTCTATACCAACATCTGTTTTTGTTCGTCTAAGTCAATTACGATGATATTTTTATCCATAGATATATATGCAACATTCTTTCATAGTCAGAACGATAATAAAACAGGGTCTGCAACTGTTGGCAATGGAGTTTTAAAACTTTAAGCCGTTACAAATTGAAACGTTTCAACCTAATGTTAATATTACGTCAGCTGAAAGACAACCATCAAATTCGATTTACAAGAGCAAGCTTTCTAACTTCTCTAAACGTAAAAAACAGATACAATTTATACATGTAAAAAAGAGAGACATAATTTCAGTATATTCACCTAAGTTATAACTATAATGATGAGAACGAATGTAGTGAAGGCAATATTCACATTATCGATTAAATCAAGTGATTTCCTGGCTCCAGGAGCCAGTTCTCAAAATTTCTAGGATAAAATATGCCACGCGTACAAGGTTCGAAAACGCCACTGAGACTCCCAGCCTCGTTTTTCGCGTTTTCAAATGATTTAGTGAAAAACAATCATTCTGGTACGGAGCGTAATCCAGTAATTTTTACACAGCCTTAAGAAGAAAGGCCTTAGAAGTTTCAACATCTATTCCAGCAAAGATGATAACCTTGTTATTATGACAACTATTCCACTTTCTACTCATAGCCTGCGCAGTAAGCAGATTTATGGGGGAGATCCAATGGAGGGAACAGAAGCGATCGGCCGCTTGTTCGCGCGCTCACGAAGTACGCTTACGCCGCTCATTTAGGTGCTCGCCACACAAAACCGCCAACTGCACAGGCTAGTTTCAGACCGAAGAAAGCAAGAACTTTTCCTTTAATTTCTTAATTAAATAGTTCAGTTCTATATAAACATGGTTATAGAAAATATCGGGTAATGCTATTCCACATGTATGCCTTAAGGCAAAACGGCTTGTTGATAAAAAAAGGCACTAGAGCTAAACGTACTAGCTACTTTGCTGATCATACGAACAGGGCCGGGCATGACTTGTGTTTTCCAGTTCATGATCTATCTTTGGAATCTTCAACTTCTGGTAAGGATCTCCTTCCTTCAGTAATGGATCTCTTAGGAGAGCAGTTCAAACCCTCCGGGAGAGCTCTAAAGGACAAACAGAAGATACAAGACAAAACGCTAGTCAAACTAAAAATAGTGATCTATGAGTACCCTTCCAGGTTTTCGTGTAAATTACGCTAGAACTTTGATCCACTATATGACCTTCACCTTAAAACAACAAGCACAAGTCTTCAAAAAAATTCGTCCACCAGTCTTTTAAACAACCGTTTCAGATAGGGTTTCAGCGATTTATCTCAGAGAACTCTGTTAAAGTTGACTTCGGTCCAACGTTTCCATGTTTAAGTTCGCTTTTTTCACTGTCCGTTCCTAGCCAAGTATGGTATCCGTCCACCGCGGTCAAAGGTCCAAGGCGCTTTTCTTTTTCATGTGATTTTCTTTAACACTAGGTGAAAAAAGCGCATCCAAGAATGTCTAAAAGAATGAGTTGATTTAACTATCCTTGCATTTTTCTCAGTACAATGAGTTTCTTTTCGTTGAAAACGCTTCTTGCCGGAGTAAAATTGTGACGTGTTGAGCAACTGAAAAGCCAGATCAGTTTTCACACACTTTGATCGTTTCGAGGAAACCCTCAAAAAGTTTAGTAAATTTCCAGCGAATTGAAATTTACAACCTTAGTTTTAAAGTACTTTTCTAAGCCTTTGTAAATTTGTCATGTTTGATCGCGGTTAAGTATGGTCAAGATGGCTCATGGTATGGTAACTTTTAGCAAGACCCTGCCACTCTTAGGGGCCTCTATTTGATATACGAAGACACCCCTTTATCTGGTTCGCCAACGTCTAGTCTCTAATGACAGCAGACGCTGCCTTAAGCTGCGCCCCGCACGAAGATGAGTCCTTTTCACTGAACGTCTTCAGTGAAACGAGGGCAAAAGAAATAAATAATTCATAACAAAATGTTAACGTACCCGGGAAATGTAACCGGAACCAATTGCAAGCGTCAAAGCCTAAGGGCTCACTCAGTGCAATTAGGCGTAATTTAATAGAGGTTAACGCGCCTAGTACAGTAAAACTGAAGTAAAAGAGATCAAAACATCTGTCAACTGACGACAATGTCAGTGACTGCCGTTTTAAGAATTACATGCATCAACATTTGGCAAAACATAACCGACGGTAAGAAAAACGTCGAGTCCAAATACACAAAAATGATCTACCAAAGGGAAAATAAATGGAGAGGAAAGGAAATAAAACAAGGACGTCTTGACAAGAACACTATATATTTGACCCATGAGCTAAATAGCTGGTCGATACTAACTCTGATCATCAATTAGCCTGTCCTTAAAATGTAGTACTGACGGTATTAAAGCTAAGGTGAAATTCAATTTGGAGTAATATTGCCGGTCCCAGGGGCAAATCCTGATCTTGCGCGGCATCTGTCGCATAATTCGTCTTTAAGTGTCAATTCGGCAAAAAGCTGAGATACTCTTTGCAATCATAGGCAACTCAAGTTGGTTACATCAGCGTCACGCGCTTAATCGTTTATTACAGCTCGTACCGACAAAAAGGTTATCAGAATACTGCTGACTACTGCCTTTGTATTTAGTTCCAGGCGATATTTACCTTTGGTTTGGCATCTGATCATTCACAGTAGCTTGGTTGCCTATCACACAGGTGTGCGGCCTTGTAACTTGGTTAAATGTCTGGTGTAAGTGATACTCTGAAACAAGATTCATAAGACATTTAAAATATATCCCACCACCTTCTAGAAAACATTAATTTCGTAACCGATAAAACTCTTTGTGATACCCCACGCAACCGAAACGTTTTATTATGAAACAAATATCTTTTTTCATTCGTCTGACGGAAATAATTATCCTCACGTTGTGAGAAACTACTATAAATTTTTACCAGCTGATGAAAAAAAAGTACTTGTAGGAAGACTAAAGGTGTAGGAAGACATGCCATCAGGATCTCTCTGAAATTATCTATATATTTCTCCCTAAAGTTTTTAAAAGTATTTTTTAAATAGTTTAGAGCCTGTTTAAAAGTGTTATTAGTATTATTATTGTTCCAGCAAAATGCTCGCATAATCTTCGTATTTGTTACCGCTATTGAAGGAACACGGGACACTTTTTCTAGGTCCCAAATCCGGGCTTAACCTTATTCAGGGAACACATTATAGCATTTAAAAAGTGACTGACCACAAAAATCGTTGATAAGTCAGTTAAGTGTTCAATAGTCACAATGGGCGGTGAGTACTTTCAAAACATGAATTATCTCACTCAAACCGATTTACTGCACTTTTGGGAACTCAACACACAACACCGCAGAGATAAGTTAATCATGACTTTTTATATATTATCTAGCCGGTTGAAATAACTACTGCAGCAGATTCCGAGGCAGAATAAAAGAAAAATATTTATTTGTTGGTTAATTATTAGCAAACCTTAACCCATAACTCTAAAACGAACGCCTTTTAGTACTAAGTTCAGAGAGCATTGGACACCTCTGTTCAGAGGAAACAGGTTCAACTGTACTCTCAAGTTAGTACTAGACGTCCGACGTTTGTTTGAGAGTTATGAGGAAATCTACAGAACTGAAGAAAAGCACTTTAGTTTTCGTTACCGATTTTGCCGCACTGAGCACTGCCGTGTTTCTGTAACTGATCAAAAGAAGTCGAGGGAAATTTGCCACCAACAGAAGTCAGTGAGAGCGCTTCCAAATCTTCAGAAATGAGTGAGTTGTCCAAACCTGAGTGAAAGAAATGTTTTCATCACAAGTTAGATGATAAGGCGATTCCATAAACTGTTCTCCCCTCTTTCCCTTCCTGTCTTCTTATACCTCCCTTCTTCGAGCATTTGTCGAGTTTCGCGTTCCTTCTTATGACTGTTATAACGAACGCCCCCACGAGGAAGGCTCCTTTAACATTTTTTCAAGATAGGATACACAATTTTTTTTCCACTATAATCAGGCTTAAGCAAGAAGTTGAAAAAGATTCGGGCGTTACCATTGCCCTCTATCCCACCATCAAGCCCTCTCTTGCCAGAAGCTTGCAAGAAAGGTACAGCTTTCGTAAGGAGTTTATTGGAAACAGAAGAATCCCCGAATGAAAAAGCACCGTGTAATATGAAGTGTCACTCGCCAAACGTGTCCTTGGTATTATTTGTGGAAATCATGCGTTGCGCTGGCCTTTTAATTAGATTATTCAGTTATGTATACGTAGTAGTGGATAACTGAATTATCTTAAGGGTGCACTGATATTCAGAATTCACTGTAGGCCCCAAGCCAGTAAGACGGATAGACACTGATTACATTGTATAATAGTATCGAAAATTTGTTTAAAAATTGACCGTTGGACGCAGCAAAGCAAAGGATTTATTAAACTTTAATAGGGTGGGATAAACAGACACAAACAATAAACAATGAATCAAACTTACCACCAAAACTTATTACTTCTGGTAAACAAGCGCCGCCAGCTGAGTAATCGGAAAAGGTTACAAAGTCGTTACTGTCCAGAGCAACAGCTTCCGAACCCCATTTGTACACTAGACGGAGTCTTAGGACCTTTTCTTTGGTGAAGTCAATACAACGCATTGAAAGGTAACACTGAGAGACCTCAGAGTGGCTCAAGTCCACCATGTCTTCACTCAGTTCTCGTTTGAAGATCTGTATCAATTCTGATAGCTTCTCCTTTTGTGAAGCATACAGAACTATTTGAAGATTTCCCGAATGCGTGTTTTTGGCTTCCATTTTCATTACCGCAATGTCAGCTGTAGCAAAGAGACTCATGCATCTGTTAAATGCATCCATGCCAGATTGATTCAGCATAATAACTGACTGGAATGCTCCTTTCTTGCAAATTGACCCATCAATGTGCACACATGCAGCCGCACCCAGTTGAAGCTCATCCTCCGATTCTTTCTTGATAATGAACGTTTGAGAGTATGTGTCGTCATACTCGTCGTGCTCCACGTTGTCAACATCAGACGAGTTACAAGACACTGTGGAGTTTTTCGAATCAACCAGTTCAAATCTCACCAGTTTCGATGGATCAAACTTGGCGAAATCAAGTAGCTCTCTTATTACGTTGGAAAAATCTTGCATGAAATCTTCGTCTACCTCCTTGTCATCGGTTAACAATGTGTCTCGTAGGCGGCAACAAAAAAGGTCTAATCTCTTACACAGCTTCATGTCAGCCGCGCAGTACTGGAAAAACCTTGCGAGAAAGTTAAGCATTTGGTCAATGGCTAGACGTTCGCTCCACTTCGTAATTTCAGCGGCTGACGTCTGGTTGTGATTCTCAAGGCACAACATCTCCAGAATTTGGCACTCCACATACACAAGTTCTTTGAATCTGCTGTACTGTTGGGCATTCGAAACGCTTGACAAAAATTGATTGATATCTTTCTCAGGAAGACCCTTCAAGCCATTTTGCGGCACTAACCTATCACGGTCAACGAAAATTTCCTTGATGTTTTGAATGAGGTGAGGAACAATGGCCAGGAAAATTCTGGTGTTCGATTCTTTAGGAGATGAACATACTCTTTTATAGTTTTTTGCAATTTCATCAGGTACTTGTTGACGTTTGATGAAATGTTCGATGAAATAATCTGCTTGATTAGAAGACGAGGCGGTTCTTTCCACACCCTCAGGAGAAATTCCTAATTCGATACAACAATCTCTTAACACTGACTTACAGAGTGTTGTAGCTTTACAGGCAAAATTCTTCACTATATCGGTGTTGACGCCTTGTAAACCGGTTATCTTCAAGGCAAGTTGTCTCAGGTGGCTGATATGCATCTGGCCCCTTGGTGTAACTCTGTATTCTGGTGGCAAAAAATATAAGAGCATAAATAGAGAATACTTCATGGAAAGTACTGGCGTACGGTATTTACGCACGAGTTGTTGACGTATCAGAGATATCGAACGAGTGAGCGAAGCGAACGAGTAAGATTTCTGATACAAAAACAACGAGTGCGTAAATACCGTACAAGGCACTTTCCATGTGGTACTGTGTTTATTACATACATACTGAGACATTCATCATTTTGGCGGCCTTTTTATTTTAAATCTTTCAAAAATGCTAAAATTTGCCGCTACACACTTACCGCAAAATGACAACGAAAACAAAGTATCAGCTTTTTAGTAAAAACGTTTGTTAAAAACATAAATGACGGTAAGGATATGAGGTAATCCAAGAACTATAAGTAATCTTAACTGTTTGTTCTCAATTGAATGCACAATGCACAATTGAAAATGAGTGAATTTAAGTAAAATGGCCGGTTTCAATATAAGCTTAAGCTTAAAAGAAAGGCAAAGTAGCTCAGACAAAAAGCACAACAAAAGCTTACGTCTCGTTCTGCTTTTCCCTTTCCGCTGTTGTTTCGCCGGCTCTCTACCGTTTTCTTTATCGACAGTGAAACAAACGAAACTATTCCACTCCATTTCCGAAATGTTTTTCACTTTTTTAGCGAGAAAAACTCTTTGAGTAAAACTTTTCTCGTTGAATGTGTGCGAAGCGGCGTTGCAAGCTGCAATAAAAGGCGGGAATTTTGGCGCGAAACTTACACACCTCTGTGGCTTTTGATTGGAAGTATCATTTTTCTCACACGTGAAAAAACATCGTTCGCGATTCTAATTGGACGGATTTTTCAACTGTGAAAACCATCGTTCGCTACTCTGATTGGCCAGAACTAATTTGCGTACGTAAATTTACGACATATCTTTTTGGTGAGTATTTTTCAGTATGTACTTCCTTTTTAAGACCTTGGAGGCATTAAATTTCGGCCCTCAGTTACTACAGTGGATCCGAACCTTTTACACTGACTGTTCTAGCTGTGTAGTAAATAATGGTTACGCCTCTGTCTTCTTTAAACTACAAAGAGGTGTTCGCCAAGGGTGCCCTCTTTCCGGCTCCCTATTTGTGCTGTGCGCTGAAATTCTTGCTAATGCAATAAGGTCTAATGCAAATATTCAAGGAATCAACATATATGGAAAGGAATTCAAAATTTCACCATACGCAGATGATACCACTGTTTTTGTCTCTGATATAACATCTGCCCAAAACCTCTTCCAACTGCTCCACGCTTTTCAAAAATGCTCTGGTCTTGAAGTAAACAGAAGCAAGACAGAGGGCTTGTGGCTAGGCGCGAACAAAAACAACCCGGAAGAACCTCTTGATATTGCATGGCCAAAAGACCCTGTATTTGCACTTGGTATTCACTTCTATTATGATGACGAAGCTGCTTTCAAAAGGAACTTTGAACAGAAACTGTCCTCGATGGCTTCCTTGCTAAACTTGTGGTACCCTAGGAACCTAACTTTACATGGTCGAATTGTCATTTTAAAAGCATTAGCCCTCTCCAAACTTATTTATAACACTGCTGTCCTCACTGTCACCCCCGCATTTATTCAAAAAGTTAATAAAGCTATTACTCAATTCGTCTGGCAAAAGAAAAAACCAAAAATAAAACAAACTACCCTGATTGGCCCTAAAGAAAAAGGTGGTCTCTCATTGCCTGATTTTGACATAATTAACAATGCTCTCAAAGCAACTTGGATCAGAAGACTAGACAGCTGTCATCCCACCGCGAGTTGGACTCACATTCCTGTTTCCCTGCTAGAGCGGGTCGGTGGTCTCTTTCTCCTTAAATGTAACTTTGAACTTAAACATCTTAACATACACATTCCATTGATCTTTTACGAGAAAGCCTTGTTGGCCTGGCAATCCATAAATTCGTTCACTCCCTCCTCAAAAGAAGAAATACTGAATGAAATCTTATGGAACAACCGCTTTATTAGGATCAACAATTATTCAGTATACTACAAAGCATGGCATGTAGCGGGTGTTGAAAAAATTGGAGATCTCTTCAACGGCAATACCTTTCTATCTCACCAAGACTTCTGCTCTTATTTTGGTCTTAAAACTAATTTTCTTACCTACTACGGTTTATGCAAAGTAATTCCTCCTAACTGGATTAAAATAATGAAAGGTAAATTACAACCGCCTTCGAATAAATCCATAAGTATGGATAGAATTCCCGTTGAGAAGCTTTCTTCTAAACTTGCTACCAACTTTTTTGTTGAAAGGAAATTTGTTCCTGCCACCGCCAAAAAAAGACTCAGAAAAGCTAGTTTAAATGAACAGCAAATTTCTCAAATTTACAAGATGCCTTTCAGTGCTACAAAAGACATACAACTCTCAATGTTTCAGTTCAAGATCTTACACCACATCTTACCCACCAACGCTACATTATATAAATTCGGAATTAAGGAACATGACCGCTGTCATTTATGCGCTGAAAAGCAAACAATCACACACCTATTTGTGACTTGCCCCAATGCTCAGCTGTTTTGGACACATTTTTCAGTTTGGTGGCGCGAAAAAAACAACATTGAGATCTCGCTTTCTGAAGCACAAACACTTTATAGCATTACAGACACCGTGCCTCAGTGTCTTGGTTTAAACCTCTGCTTGATAATTCCAAAATACTATATTTACACCGCGTCTAAAAATGAGGAAGATTATTTTTTCGACGCTTTTTTGTCTATCCTTAAAAATAAAATACAAATTGAAACTAGCAAAGCTAAGGTGCAAGTCAAGCTGTAAAAATAATTTTCTTGATTCTGGCTAATTTCCCTTGTTTTTTGGCTTTTTTGTTTTGTTTGTTTGTTTGTTATTTATTTATTCATTTTTCGTCGTTTTTAGCGTATTTCCTCTTCGTTAATAGATAGTAAGTTAGTAATTAGTTGTATTAGAATTCTTTTTTCATTATTTTGTAACAGACTCCAACTCATCGGCTCCTGTTTTGTAAGCATTATCTTGTAAGTTTATATTATGTAAGTAACTAGCATTTAACTTAGCAAGTTATATGTAAGTAGGTATTAATATAAAGCTTTATGTAACTAAGTAAGTACTATGTAAGTAAGTCAGCATTATGTTTGTAAAAACAATAAAAATAATAATAATAATAATAATAATTTCAGTATGTATATAATAAATTATTCTCTTAACCACTCACCCAACAAACGAAATAACCGTCAAATTCTAATAAGGTACTAATCTGTCGTTTGTGAAGTATAAAAGAATGTTAAAGAATGTACAGGTGGCTAATCGAAGGTAGAGACCTTAAAGTGCTACTACGATCAAAAATTAATGTCAAGTTTGTCACAAAAACGCTTTCTTTTCAGCTTATCAGAAGTGGCTGTACCTGTTTCAGTCATTGAAATGAACTGAACCGTGAGAAAACTGAAACTGCGAGCGATTCTCAAAGCTTCGCTCGTCTTCGCCCGATTCTGGAATTGTGAAGGAGGAAATCGTAGATTACGATGACTCTGTAGAACCAGCACCGACTGAATATGAGAAAGTCAAATATAAGGGCAGCTAGCCTCAGAGAAGAAAAAAAAACACACTTCACCAAGTCGTATTTTATGCAGTTTGTGCCGACGGAGATTCGGACTACTGGTAGGTGTATTTGTATACGAACTAGCTATAATCATAATACACAGGCAAGACGATCGAGAGTCCTCACCAATTTCACCTGCCTTCTAGCCACTCTGGAGTGCTCATTTATCCAAGTGTAGATAAAGTTTTGCTTTATAGCTCTTCAGTTACAGCGAATCAGAGTGGGTACAGTTTTCAGTTCAGCTAAGTTTCAGTTCTAAAGCAGCCAGCTCGTTGTCATATGCATGTGTTTTTTTTTTACCATCTTAAACGGACTGCTGTCCTTTATTATCGAAAATTTAATTGTTACTTTGGTGTTGAATTAGATCTAATGTTAAGTTCTCTTTGTCAGAAAAGTTAATTTACTCATTTTCAATATAAATAGATAAATAAGGGGATCGCTCGCTCTTGATTTGGTATATCAATTTGATAATTTTCAGTGCTGACATTAAAGACTGTCACATTCTTTGTAGCTCATGTTTTTTTTGAAAAGGCTGTGTCTGCCTATGCCTTCCCTATCGATTGACTGCAGATCATTATTGCAACTTATAAATTGCAACGCTAATAAAAATGCAGAGATTTCACCTCATCCAACTATTGTCAATGATATCCCCTTGTATTTCCATAACTTTTATATATAACTTTATGAAATTGTTGTATGTGACGTTTTTTTTAAATTTATTTATTATTCAAACCCAGGTGTGCATTTTTTGGATGCTCTCTTTACTGGGACCAGCTTTGAAGCTTTGGCTAGACAAGAAAATATATACAGTGGAAAGGTTAATACAGACATGTTATGATGTCTATATTATCTGGGTGTCCGTATTATCCGGGTGTCCATATTAAGTTAACTCTCTGGAAAAAAGTCACAGACACGTGATTTATTTGATATATAGCATAAAGGAACAAGGAGGAAGAAGGGTAGGAACAATAACTGTAGCAAAAAGCCAAGGACGTGAAACTTGTTGAGTAGGAGGCAGAAAATTTATCAAAGGACTACTAACAGGGAAAGAAAGAAAGAGGTATCAAAATCAAATGTGTCATGCTATTTGGCTGCAGATGTTTTGGTAATAAAATCTTATTAACCCGTGAACTTGGTACAATGTCTACAATTGGCACATCATTGTGACAAGAAAAATAGAAAGTGCCTGGGTAACCAGTGTCTGTAAAGATGGATTAAGAATATATAGGAATTTCTGACTTGAAACACAGAAAGTGGTTGTTGTCCACATTAACTACTGTGCTAACTACTGTGCGTACTAAGCCGGTTAATTTTAAAGAAAAAATGTATGCTTTTCCTCAGGACAAACAAAACTGCCTGTTATATATGGGTGTCCAATTAAATGGGTGTCTACATGATCATAGAGTACTGGGTTATCACTGCATTAATAAATTATTATTTGCAAACTAAATTGTTCAGTACATCACTAGGTTGCACGATTCTGCTGATAACACAGTGTGCCATAAATTCACTGCCTCTAGGAAGAAGTGTTACACAGTGGAAATGATGTTCATCATGGAGGCCCATCCTTGATTGTGCTAAGAGGGCCTGGGAAGCAGTTTTTAACGTGCGGGGGCCGGTGACCACCTACATTGAGGTCGGGGGAACAGCAAATTTGGCTGTTCTCTCTTTGTGGCTGTTTAGAACTGTCAGATTACTGAACCTTTCTTGAGTCATTGTTGAGCAGAGTCATGTTCATAAATTTCAAGCCGCTGAAAAGTACCTTTCTCCTGCTGAGCGTGATTGCACATGCTGAATCCACCACTAGAGGTTTGCAGATCACGATATTACACTGTAGGTTCCTGAAATGCCTTCATTTTGTCTAGCATGTCATTGAAATGTGCCAGAAACCACATCATCAGCTGATATAATTCGTTTTAAGAAACCGTAGTTCATGGAGTAGTCTTCAGATTTAATCAAGAACCTTCATCAAAAAAGACTATTCTGCATTGTTGCAAATGTTACATAGCTTTGCTGGATTGAAAATGCAGAAATCTAGGACGGCTGACTTTTTGAGGCTTGCCGATGGGATCAAAATAGACCAATAATAAATTTAGATGCTGGAAGATTCTTATTCCAACAAAGATACTATTCATATGAAAATGTATATTACAATGGAACCTCTATAACGAAGTCCTCGGTCTAACAAAGTATTTTTTTTCCAGTAATAGTAAAATATAAGGCAATATGAAAAAGAACCTGGATAAAAATTAACAAACCTCGTCATAATAAACATATTTTGCCAGTCCCTTGGCCCTTCGTTAAACTTAGCGTTGGGGACATTCACTGCCAGTTTTGCGAACTGTAAGCTTACCTCCATGCGCTCCCTTTTTATGCGAAGATTTCTCTCCGGATTCAAGATCTGTCGATTGATCTTTCTTCCATATGCTAGCAAACGATCCAAGTTTAATTTTCCGCCACTGGTTTGCGTTGAAAGCCCCGTAAATGCTATTGCAGCACTCTTCGAAGTTATCAAACCGAGAAAACAGCGAAACTGTCAGCTGGAAACAAACCTATTCCTCGAATCTCACATTCAGTTGGTCAGACTCGCGTGCAGCTCAATTCTATCGATTGAAGCGGTTGCTGCACACATACGGAGCCTAATGTAGTAAGATCGAAAGAGTCTTCCTAAACATGAACGCATCGAAGTGGGAGGAAAGGGAACATTGTTGAGCAGGGTTCTTGGAAGAAAATTGTCATGCTGTGTGTACTAAGTTAAGTAAATGACGTCACAGAGCAATTGCCTTGTGTTCTTGGTAACCAGGCCACAGGAACATAGCGTTTTAATGGTGGACGAAAATTAATGGTTTTTAAGCGCCAAAAAATACCACTTTCCTTGATCGTATGAAGCTATAATTTGCACACCATGTACTTCAAGTACTAAACTGCCAATCTAGCGAAAAAAATGGTAGTCAAAGATTTGATCATAGTAGCACTTTAAGGTAGCTCCGTTGTTACTAACTATAGGCTGAGGTGCGGCATTGAATTATGACATACTATATGCAATAACTTTTTTTCGGTTTTAGCTCGATGTCTAATAAAATTTCAGAGGACCTACAGCTATCGGCAGTAATAACGCGAAAAAATTCGATTTAACTGGTGATAAATATTTTTTTAACGTTCTGCCAAATGAAGAAAATAAAGAATGCGGAAAAAGACTGGGATGAAAAACTAGGATTAAAAATAGTTTTCAACATCTTATGTCTCTAGCACTCAATAATAACCCGCTTTAAATTCTGTTCCGAGTAGGAAATTAAAAGATTCATCGCGCCATAATTAAGATAATAACGACACAAAGCCGCCTGAAGCACAACTAACCTTCCTGAGTTAAGCCCTCCAGAAGACTTCTGTGAGAAGAAAGTTCTGCGTCAGCACTCTCTTCCGACCATGGCTGCAAAATTAGTTCCAACTGCTCATCGTCGTCCTTCCAACGTTTCATCATCTCATTTATTGACTCTTTAGGAACCTTAAGAGTCTCAGCAATAGTTACGACGTTAAACGCGGTGTCCTGTTCCAACCCCAGTAGCCTTCTTAAATAATTACAAGGATCTGTAGAAGAAGCACGAATTCATACTTGTTGTTACATTTATAACGAAAGGTCTTTAACTCAAGAGCCTTTATTTACCTCTGTATACCAAACTAAAGAACGAAGTGAGTTTTCCTCATGAGACTGGTTTGAAGGCACCAAAGTGTGGTGCATACTGTATTTGCGGGTATTAAAGCCCTAAAATTGACGGATGAGTTGACTTACTTATACCTCTTTAACATAGTAAAGATGAAGAAAAACACTAATGACATGTCAAAACCAGGAATTTATATGGCCCAGGTGATCAATCATGGGGTCACATGTGCTATACCAAATGCCCTAAATAAAAGAGACGAGTTAACTTTTGTTTAGTCTCAAGAGAGATGAACAGCAATAAACACTTTCTGATATGGTTTAACATCCAGCTTTCTTTGAACTGCCTAAAAGGTCTCGAGTGCGGTCTTGAACAAATAACCCCCCCTCCCCCCACCCCAAAATTCACCATCCTTTTACTCTATGTGTTTCAGGTTAGCAATGCCAAATCCCAGACTACATCAGCCATCAACAAATGGCCAAACTTTAGCGCTTTAGCCAAAATGAAATAGGCTTTTTAAAAGGGTTTTCGCTTAAAAACCCATCAACTCCATGCATATTATCTACGAATTATCTGCCCGGACATTGAAATTCTTATTCATTTAGGAATGGTCTGGCCGGTCAGTTCTGACAAATAGTAAGCGCTCTTAGGGCCTGTTTAGAAGGAGACAGGGTTACCCTTGTGCTAGGGTTATCCTAGCAAGCGGGTTAAAGTTGGCTATGGTTTAAAAGAAAATTTCACAGGTAGGGTTAACCTATCACCCGGTTCAACTTTACCAGCTTTACTGACGTGTTTCGTCATGCTTGATATTCTTTGTAGCGATCCAAAATTTGAAATAATCTTGAAGTTTCCTTTGGAAAACACGTTAAATTCACGAAAGAAAGGGAAAATATTATCATCGTGGACAGAACAGAACTTTTTTTTTCAGATGTTTATAATTAAGCTCAGAAATTGCATAATACCGCTCAAATTGGCACGATTACTGGTCACTCATGACGGCGCAAACTTGACCCGGTAGGTGAGGTATCCCTAGCTGAGAGTTTACAAGGCAGGTAAGGTAGCCCTCTTGCTAGGGTAACCCTACCAATTAGGTAGGGTTACCCTAGCGCTAGGGTAACCCTACCTGCCTTGTAAACACGTCGTGTGAAAAAAGAAGAAATACGCGAGTGCTGGGGTAGCCCTAGCACCAGGGTTACCCTCCCTCCTTGTAAACAGAGCCTTAGTTAAACCGTAACCAGACCTGCCTTTTTATTATTGCTTCCTGCGACCAGGGAAAGCTTCGGAGACCCTCCCAATTAATTAATAACTTCAAAACCGCTCATGATACGGCCACCAAAATTACACAGCGGTTAACTTGGTTATAGCTCGAATGGTTTTTAATTCACAAGCTATTCGATTTGTCAAGTTTTTAGTGAGGAGGGCTTCAAAATACCAACCCCCCGGTCTCAGTAGGGTTGTAGAAAGACATATCACGCTAAGTCACTGTCGTGGACCTGATCTATGACACCATGGGCATAATTCTAGGTTGAGTATGCTATAGCTACACACATTTACCTCCTTCGCTAAAATGCTTCTTGCTCGCATGCCCATTTTCTCCTTGTACACTGATTGTCCCACACAGACATCGCACTTCGTTTTTCCATTCCAGAGGAAGTTTGATTACTTTTCCTCCACTCCACCAAACAGAAGAATCTACACTGAAACTAATCATTCTGTGCTGACAGTCAGCTAGTTTGTAGTCTTCTCCGAGTTGAATACTCACTTGAAGGTTTTCGTGGTTGTAGATTCGCTTTTCATCCAATACGTCAGCGGAACGCAAGTGGACCTCCACAAAACCTTCCTTCTTGAGCTGCACTAGGGCTGAAGTCTCGTTCTCTCTGTAGAATTGTTCATGAAAGAGGTCTTGGCTCACGAACAGTAGAGCAAGTACATCGTGGACTGAAGAGGGAATGTTCTTGTTCAACAAAACGACTAACGTATACTTAAACGACAGTAAATCGAACCTGGATAGAATGTCTTTAGCGCAGATCAACGTCCAACGTAACAGAACCAAAATGAGTGAGAAATGCTCCAATTCAGTGACTACTTCTGCGGTTGCCTGATTGATCTTTGAGTTTCGAGTGACGTCTTGCCAAGTGATCTTTCCATCTCTAGCCTCTGTGCCATGCAAAATGAAAACATCGCCTCTCTTGAAACGCTTGATTTTGAGTGCAGTTGTCAACTTAAGGGGTTTCCTAAAGAAATGGCCATTGGGCTGAAGATTTACGATTGGTGCAGCTATCATGACATCATTTTCAAGATCTTTTGAAGTGATCATGCAATAGTAATTTGACGGATCCTCTAATGTTATCCTTATAGACAAGGAATCGTCAACAGCTCCAGTGGGGCAAACCAACCTGACATTCTTTCCAGCCACTATACCTCCTTCACTGGTAATGACGTCTTCGATGTTTGCCGCCTTGAGGTCACCTTGTCGTAAAAAATAAAAACAAAAATGAAACAAACTCACTTAGCTGTTGGAGGGCAGGTCAATTGTGAGTTCATATTCAAAGTATAATGTGTTTACCATTTGTAAAAGGGTGAATCAGGACACTGACGCTAAATACGGACACCCGTATTTGACGGACGGTTCGTTTGTCCCCGCGAAAAGCTCAATATATTTATTATATTAACGTTTTATACGGCTGAGGTTAATACGGACATCAGACACTTTTCTGTAAACCAAGTCACCAAATCTCGTCTGTCCGTTGTCAACCTCGCTTTACAAACACTAGAAACACTGGTTTATCAAATTAACAATGATCCTCGCAGTTGTGAAAGCAATATATTCCATTGCGTAAGAAGCCTGAAAAAAAAAATTCAAGACTTCAACAGGATTTGAACCCGTGACCTCGCGATACCGGCGGATGCTCTTATCAACTCAACTATGAAGCCACTTATGTTGGGAGCTGGTCAATTACGTTTTCATATGTTCCCGAGAAAGAGATGAATGTGAAAAATGTATATGAAATAAATCATATATAAGAACTGCGGAAATGAAATCAAATGAAGAATGATTCTCGCAGTTGTGAACGCAATTTACGCAATTGCGTAAAAACCTTTAAAAAATTCAGGACTTCAACCGGCTTTGAGCCCGTCGTGACCTCGCGATACCGGTGCGATGGTCTAACCAACTAAGCTATGAAGCCACTGATGTTGCGAGCTGGTCAGTTATGTGTTGAACTGTTCCCGTGAAAGAGATGACTGTGGCAAATGTATATGAAATAAATCATATATCAGAACTGCGGAAATGAAATCAAAAGAGGAATGATCTTCTACGCAATTGCATAAACTGCGTTCCAGTGTAAGGATCATTACTTATTCCTTTCTCTTCAGTTTTGTTCCCTGCCGTAAACATGAACTCAACTTTACTTCTGAAGACATCAGGGGTCAATTTAATAAAACTTTTACAAGTGTAGCCATTGTTTTAGAGTCTGAAAATAATAGCTACATTTGTACATTACACTTGTAAAGTTTCATTAAATTGATCCCAGATTTTCAGGCAATATCTCTTGCTCATGCGGACTGTAATACCACCACAATTCGCTTTACCTAGTATGCTCGGTTTTGTCATTAACTCAAGATTAACCTTATTAAACTTGCGTAGCTAATCGACTATTCTCGTGACGTCTTTCAAGCGACCTACCTTTAAGCTTCGTTGTAGCCTTTAAGTGGCGTTCACAGTAGCCTATGGCTGTTTTGAAATCTCCGAGACTTCGATGTGTGTCGGCAAGGTTCTCGTACGAGCTTTCCTCTTGGGACTTGTTTCCAACCGCGTTTGCAACTTTTTGCTGGCATTCAAAGTGGTATATGGCCTTTCTAAATTCTCCAAGACAAAAATTGACGTTGCCAAGATTTTCATTTGCACTTCCCTCTTGCCACTTATGCCCAACTCCTTTCGCAATAGTCAGTTGCTGATCAAAGTGGCTTAAGCCCTCTGAAAAATCTCCGACACCGTAAAAAGCCTTTCCAAGATTTCCATGTGCGCCTCCTTCTTGCAACCTGTCTCCTAATTCTTTCGCGATTAGTAATTGAAGATTAAAGTAAAGGATGGACTTATCAAAATTCCCGAGACTTAGATAGGCGTTGCCAAGACTTTCGTAGGAACTACTTTCCTCTGATCTGTTTCCCAATTTTTTCGCGACTTGTTTACGGCGCTCATGATAATCTATAGATTTTTCGAAAAAACCATGATTGTGATAGACGTTTCCAAGACACCTATAAACGCTTCCTTCTTGAACCATGTCTCTCAAATTTAACGCGGTTTCTAGTTCACGTTCAAGGAGATCTACAGCCTTTTCCTTTACATAGGAGGGGCCAAGATTTCTAAGCGAGAGCAACATGTGTGACCCCTTTGAGAGTTTTTTCGCGATTTCGAGTAAACGTTCATGGCAGTCTGTGGCCATTTTGAAATTACCAAGACTTGCACAGGAAATGCCAAGATTACGGTACGCACACCCCTCTTGTGACCTGTTTTCCAATTCTCTCGCGTTTTCAAGTTGACTTTCGAAGAAGTCTATGGCCATTTTAAAATCTCCACGACTTGCATAGGAAATGCCAAGATTATGGTACGCACATCCCTCTTGTGACTTGTTTTCCAATTCTCTCGCGATTTCAAGTTGACTCTCGAAGAAGTCTATGGCCATTTTAAAATCTCCACGACTTGCATATGAGATGCCAAGATTCCCATACGCGACTCCCTCTTGTGATCTGTTTCTCACTGTTTTCGCAATTTCAAGTTGGCGTTCCAGGCAGTCTGTTGCCTTTATAAAATTTCCGAGACTTGTATAGGAGATACCAAGAATTCCATACGCAATTCCCTCTTGTGATCTGTAAAGTAATTCTTTTGCGATTTGAAGGTGACGTTCAAGGTGTTGTATGGCCTTTTTACAATCGCCGACACAGGCATAGTGCATGCCAAGATTCCCATACGCGTTTCCCTCTTGTGAGGTGTCTGGTAATACTTTCACGATTTCAAGGTGACGTTCAAGGTGGTCTATGGCCTCTTTACTATTCCCGACACTGGTATAGCAGATGCTAAGACAAATGTGCGCAATTGTTTCTTCTGACTTGTGTGATAATTCTTTCGCGATTTGAAGGTGACGGTCAAAGTACTGCATGGCCTTTTCATAATCCCCCACACTGGCACAGCAGAGGCCAAGATTCTTATACGTTTTTTCCAATTTCTCAACTCGTGACCTGCGTGTTACACGTAATTCTTTCACGATTTGAAGGTGACTTTCAAGGTGGTCTATGGCCTTTTTATAATCACTGACACTGGCATAGCAAATGCCGAGAGCCTCATGCGCGTTTTCCTCCTGTGACCTGTCTTCTAATGTTTTCGCGATTAGAAGGTGACGTTTAAGGTAGTCTATGGCCTTTTTACACTCCCCGACACTGGCATAGCAAATGCCAAGATTCAAATACGCATTTCCTTCTTGTACAGAATCTTTTAAGTCTTTCACCTTTTGAAGGTGACCTTCAAGGTAGCCTATGGCCCTCTTAAATTCCCCGACACTGGCATAGCAGATACCAAGAATTATATACGCGTGTCTTTGCGACCTGTCTGATGATATTCCCTCGCTTTGAAGGTAGCGTTCAAGGAAGTCTATGGCGATACTAAATATCCCGATACCGGCATAGTAGATGCCTCTACTCAAATACCATTTTTGCTCTTGTGACCTGTCTGCTAATTGTTTCTGCCTTTGAATTCCAGCATGTCCAAAAAGCGGGTGCAATAGGCTGAACCTTCTAGTTTGGACCCTGTAATCCCTGCACGCTCTTCCCAGTAGGTAATGTAGAAGTACATGGTGGTTTCTTTTCCAGTAATCGAAATCAAATTGCAAGGCATAGCTGATGCCGAGTTTTTCACACGTTTCGTCTTCTAGTATGCGTGTTAGTTCTGTCACCAGCTGGGGTTCGCAGACGGGCAAACTGACAATTGGTATGTCGATGTACTGACAGTGGTCAAGGATGGAGAAAATAATTACCGCTGAATGGGGTCTCGATAAAAGAAAGTTACTAAACAAAGCTTACTTATTTGTCAGTGTTGCTCTGCACACCATCCTACACATTATATATTTTCATTTTCATGTCTGTTTAAATGCGGTCCGTTTAAGTTGGTTTAGATCTACCGGGTGGTCGAACAGCGCTGTATGGTTAAGTGATTACCAGTTTTCTCAGATGGACATGGATTTCTTACTCCATGGTATCACGCTTTGTTTAGTAACTTCCTTTGCTGAAGAATGTATTCGCTTTGACAAACGTCTGTTTTCATCAACACAACATGCCATGGCAAGGGTGTTCCGAGCGAACCAAAATTTCGCCCGGAAAAGCTCTCGAAAACGATTCAACGCTGTATTTCTCGACACGAGTAAAATCAAAGGTCACAAATTTAATTCACTAAACTTTTCACCCGATAATTTCAGGGTGGGTGTCACAGGCTCAACCCTCCCGAAAAGTTTCGGGATATTTTTCGAAAAAAATGGCTGCTTTTTTGGAATCTTAGCTGATCGTGAATAGAGAAAGACACATTGACTGAACTGAGTTTAAACTAAACGAACATTAAACTGGAGAATTGCAAATTCTTCCGGCATTTTCTTTCTGAAACGAAAAGGTAAAACATTTATCTGCGAGCGTGACAAGCCCAGATACGGTTTTTGAGGTACAAAGTCTGTAACGGGGCGTCCTTTTGAGGGCCCCACAAAATTGCGTTAGTTACACCGCATAATTTAGACACCATTTAAAACTGAAATCCCTGCTAAAATATTTCACAATTAAAAACTAAAAAGAAATGTCATTTTTAAATCTTAAACTGATCATAGAGAAATTAACATAGATAAAATTGTGCACTAAGGGGTAAAGCCACCAAATTTGGCATGGTAGTAGTATTTGGGCTGGTGAACAATATTAGCTATGGACCCCAGTCAGGGGAGACATTCTGTACTCAGGGGGGTGGGGTGGTTGCAGTTTCCAAATTAACTGTTGTTATTGAAAAGAAAGCTGCAAAGTTGAGCCGATCTTGCGATATCAATAAGGCGTGGCGTCCTAAGGAAGTTTAACAAGGTCTATTTAATTTAACTTTCCAGGTGGCGTGGGGGGAAGGTTTTAACACAGCTTAGGGGGAGAAGTAGGAGTATCTCTGTATGCATGTTTGTATAGGTTTCTCCTGTGAGGAAGAATACAATGACCTTTTCAGAATTCTGGCATAATTCTGAATCATTTAGAGGTTAGTTTCTCCTCTGAACTTATCCTTCATATCCATGGTAGTGGTCATGGTGTTTATTGGGGGTCGTCCTGGTGTAATAAGCGCACGTTTCTTATATTATCAGTTAATCAACCTGCGGAAATAAACTACATGATTTAGGGCACTCTTTTAATCACTCTTTTAGACTATTTTATCTCCTGATCATCGTTGCACCATTCATAAGAGGGTAGCAGGGGGGGGAGTCCTGGTCTCGTTTCACGTGTAAATTTTTACAAATTTCACGTATCACGTGCGTTATAAACCAATTTTCACGATTCACGAATTTAGTCATCAAGTTCACCCGTTACTCAAAAGGGTAAAGAACCGAAACCATAGTAATCATGGATCACACTTCGCAATTCACTAAACGATGGCAGCTTCTTTTCTTATCAGCAAGTCGGAGAGGTGACCATAAAGGGTGTTAACGAGCATTCGAAACCATCGTCTCATTGACAAATACAAGGAATTAGTCGGGTCTATAGGTGTGAGGCTACCGCTCTATGCGACAAGGAGATAACTCTTACAAAGCGAGTGCGAATTGATCTCAACAGAAAATTAATCGGATTGCTGTCAAGATCAGAAGAAGCTCCTCGGTCTTCTTCTGAGTTCCGTTCGTGTCATTGTATTCCAACTCAACTCTCTCTCCAAGAGGTAATTCCTTTTGGTACATGTTTAAGGGAAGTGTTCCCGCAGAATCCTTTGTGGTGAGCTGCATCGCCTATCCATGGCCCGTAGCCCACTTCGCATTACGCTTTGGTCACGTTAAGACTGACATCTTTTGTGATCTTTGCTAGGCAACTCTCTTGGTGTGCTGAAATAGTGGAGAAGTTCTCAAGGTTTCTTCCCTTTTGTGCAAATAGCCGGAACTTTTTTGGCATCATTGACTCTTTGACTCCGGTTTGTGTGGTCAGACATTAGGACAACAAATCTCTCAAGCACCGGCACATAGTGTCTTGAACACCCTTCAAAGTTTCCTAAGGGATGTAAAAAGTTCAGTGGCTTCTCCATAAGGCAGCCTTGTGGCCCAGGCGGTTTTCTCGTCCTAAGAAAGCAGATGTCTGATTGCATTTTGTGATTGCGTGATAAAAGTACAACACCTTATAACAGTTTTCATATCTCGAGAGCCCTTATGATTGCTATGCCCTGTAAAGAACCAATTGCTGGAGGAAGAACTGGGCTTAAGTTCGATTTTATCGACACCAGGAGACTTACATAAATTTGAAGTGGATTCTCACGATGAATCTTTGCGAAGTCGAATCACAAAGTTAAATCTTAAAAGTTATAAAGAGCAGCTCGATCCTGTTTGATGTTGCTTGACTGTGTCTCAATACCAGCTCCATAGGCCCAGGATGATCTCAATTAAACTTCTTAAAAACTGAGAGATGTGAGGCTTCCTCACTATCAGTGTTTCTTTCTGTGGCGTTCTTCTAAACAATTGCATGGTCTTCACTTAAGGCAAAAGAGACTTCAAGACCATCTCTATATGGCGTTAAATCCACACATTGCTATAATCAAATGCTCTTTATGTGTTTAAGATTTGTGTTGTAAACTTGCTGTGAAATGTCACTGCAAATATTACAGTGCTCCAGTCTTGATGCATCCATTCTAGATAGCTCAGAAAATCTGAACACTGAACAATCTGAATCATTCCGGTTCCTTCGAAGAACTGAAGGAACCAGTTCTGCAAGCGCAGTGCCGGCGTGGTATAGGAAGTTGTCATAAGTTTGTTTGACGGTTTGATTTTTTACTCCTGGCATGCACAACTAGTAGTGCATCACGCACTACAAAACCTGTACCTAATAGTTTACCGAGTAGTGTTGTCTGAAGACAAGAAAAAAACAAAAGTTACGGAGTGAGGGCGACAACGATGGAAGATGAAAACGCTTTTACTCCAACACTGTGCTTCGCGCAAGTTTCAAGTGATAGATGTTCTAAACACGCGTGATCAGATTCTAAGTGACCAGAGAAGATCCAAATGCGAGTGATCAAATTGTTTTCTGGGAATTCCATTCATTCTTATAAGTGGAAGTCCAAATGAATGCTGGCCACATACCTGCGATGCATGCATAATAATAACCTTGAGATTAAAACTGCGGGCTACTCTTGTCGCCCGCAATAAAGTGGGTAATAACTCCCCGCTGCATTAAATCAAAATAATAGGACCTACTCGATCGCGCTCTGAAGGTCTCTGTAAGTGTCTCATGTACTATTTTTGCAGTTGGTTAGCTGAGCAATTAAATTCCCAAAAAAGTCAATTCACTTCAATCAAAGTATCAAAATAAAACACCTTAACTTTCCAAGGGTGAAAAAAGGCATAGTCTCTCACAAACAAGAGGGCAAGAAGACCAGCCATTCCTGTCCGCCATGCTGAATTTCCTTGAGTAGCCTGGCCTTTTGTATCTTCCGTATGCAGTCTTGTTTGTTCCTTCAGGAAGTGTCTCAAAAATATTAATGAAGTGTTTTGAAGTGTCAGCGGGTGCATGTGTAATATCGTTATGCTTTAACTCAAATTAATTCCGCCCTTCCGAACTTAACTTGCTTCTACTTGGCTTTTCTTTCTGACAAGAATCATTTACACACTTTTTTGAAATAATTTCACTCTCAGAAAAGTAGGTAACAGGTATTTTATAAGGTTCATCTTGCACTACTATTAAGAAAATGGGAATGCAGACGTTTTTTAGACCGCTTTCTTCCCTTTTTTGAGTCTTTTCCGGACCAAAACAAAAAGGTCATCAC